GAAGGAAATGGTAAAGAGCACTATCTAATTGTCACCAGAATTGCTGCTTGGTTTAATTTAGGCTCAACCAGATTTTCTCTTAAGCCTTGGGGCCTAAGGCTTAGGCTCTTGAGCCCTTGTTTATGCTGAAACTATTTTTTTTAACATTTGTTTGAAAGATATGGCTTAGACTTTAATGGTTCAATATGTAAGAAAATACCCTGAGATTGAGAGCTTTAAAATGAAGTTTTGATTTGTTTTACTTAACGGGGTGACTTCAGTAGAATTATATCTTGTAAAGCTGTTGGGCATTTCATGTTACAGAATTCTACACAGTTAATATCCTAGAGCAGTTTATCTTTTTTTTCCCTTGAATCTTACGACTAGTTACAAAAACGGAGAGAAAAATCATGGTGGTATCCCTTATAAGATGAACTAAATCATACTCTGATGATTTGTATAAAATATTACTGCCAGGGGCTCAGTGAAATGCTGGGTAAAGACAAAGATAACAATTTACCCTTTGAGACTGCAGGATAAGTAATTGTAATCACAGAGCACCAGAACAATACAACTACAGCCACTTTTTAAAATACATTTTCATTTCCCTTAAATGATTGGGCAGGAAATCCCAATATCAAATTTTGGTATCAGATCTTATTTCAGGTTCTCCCTGAAGTTTTAGGTGGGAAAGAGCTATGCATGATGGAAGTAAGGACTGGTTTCTGAAGCTGCTGCTGAGTAAAAATGGAGTGTGAGGTAAACAGTTTGATGGTTCCTCTGTAAGTTAAACGTAGAATTAACATATGACTCAGCAATTCCTCTCCTAAATATGTACCCAAAATAATTGAAAACAGGTGTTCAAACAAAAGCTTGTGTGTGAATGTTTATAGTAGCATTATTCACAATAGCTGGAAGGTAGAAACAACCCAGGTGTCCCTCGGTGGATCAATGGATAAACAAAATGTAGTATAGCCATACAGTGGAATATTACTCAGTCATAAAAAGGAATGAAGTATTGATATAGTATATGACTGAACCTTGAAAACATTTTGCTGAGAAAAAGAAGCTAGACAGACATTAAAGGCCATATATTATGTGATTCCATTTCCATGAAATGTCCAGAGTAGACAAATCCATAGAGACAGAGAGAATATTAATGATTGATGAAGGCTGGTGGAAGGGGAAAAAAGGAGTGATTGCTTAATGGATGCAGGGTTCCCTTTAGGGTGAGGAAAATGTTCTGGAATAGATAGTGGTAATGGTTGCACAACATTGCGAATGTATTAAATGCCACTAATGGTAAATTTTATGCTGTGTATATTTTACCACTGTTTTTAAAAATGGACTGGGCTATTTTTGAAAGTATTCCTAATTCTTTGTGAAGCCCATGAAAGTTTGACAGGAAAGAGTGAGTTCCAAAGAAGGGACACATGGCAAACGCAGGGCAAAGTGGGAGCAGCCATTCTGAGGTCTGCAAGATGAGACTGGGATTTCCTTGTGGGGATCTGTGGTGGAGGGAACTGCCTAGTGTGGGTGCAGCAGCAATAGGGAGATCTGCTCCAAGGGCCCCTGGTGCCTTGTGTGACTGATAGCAATTTTAAGTATGTGGTACAGATCGTTTGAAACATAAAGACATGTAAAGTCAGGGAGTATTGAGCTGTTTAAAACCCAAGCGGACAGAAACCCAACAGATATAAATTTTAACTGCAGTGAAGCCAAGGTAATTTTAGTTTATCCAATGAAAAGGAAAATAAACTTTTATGACCTGGAGATGTTGTACTAAGTTTAGTGACAGGTGTGTGGAAAGTTTCTAGTCCCTGCTACAATGTTTTGTTTTTCTTTGTCCTTGGGAGTGTGCCACTTGCTCCTCTTCCCACTATTTTTTTCACCCTCAAAAGGAAGAAGCTTTCATGTTCGTTTTTTCCATGATGAAGAAATTAATAGGCGATTATTATAAAGTTCCAGGAAAATTGGAAATCCATAAAAAATTAAAAAAATCCCAGCAGTCAAGGATAATGCTATTGATGTTTTGACATGTGCCTTTCCTATCCTTTTTTTTCTGTGAATATCTAAACATCTGTATCTTCAATTTAACTTGGATCATACTACATTTGTCATTGTAGTGTGTGCATCTCTCGTACCAGTAAATTTCAATCAACATCATATATTCAGTGGTTGCATAGTGGTCCATTTTTATAGATGTGTCATGACTGATCATTTCATGACCAGTGTTTCAGATGTAGCCAGGGGCTTCCCTAAGATTGTTCCTCCTTGGTCACTTAGCCATCTGTCAGAGATGGTTGGTGACTCAGGGTTTCAGAAATTATTTTGTCTTTTCTACTTATGCTGGTCAATGATAGCTCTTGAAGCAGAGGTTATTTTTGTTAATTGCTGTCAAGTCAGTTCCAGCTTATGTGCAGATCATCAGGCCTTTCATCCCAGGCATCTCTGGGTGGGTTTAAACTACCAACTTTTCAGCTGGTACTTGAGCACTTAACCATTTGTGCCACCCAAGGACTCCTCAAAGCAGAGGTAATAGACAGTAAAGGGTAATAGAGGTACTTTTTAAAACATCAACTCAAATTCCACTCCTTAGGACAAATATTGTGTGATCCCACCTATACAAAATATCTAGAATAGGCAAATGCATAGAGACCAAAGTACATTTGAGGTAATAAGGGGCTGAAGAGAGAAGGGTATCGGGAGCTATCATTTAATAGTACAGAATTTCTATTTAAACCAAAACCAAACTCACTGCCGTCAAGTTGGACCCGACTCATAGCTACCCCTTTCCAAGGAAGTATCACTACGGAAGTAGATGGCCCAACCTTCCTTCCAAGGAGTGGCTGGTGGATTTGAACAGCCAGCCTTCTGGTTAGCGGTCAAATGCCTTAAGCACTACGCCACCAGAGCTCCTGAATTTCTTTTTAAGGTGAGTGGTGATGGTTGCACAACATGATGTATGTTCATGTCACTGAATTGTGCACTTAAAAATGGTTAAAATGGCAAGTTTTGTGTTATATTTTACCATAATAGAATTTACAAAAAACAAAAAACAAACAAACCCAGAAACCCCACTGTCTTGCAAGGCCTATCTCGGGCCTACTTTGACTTGACTGAGCCCCACTCCCTTCAGTTATTAGTCTTCTGTATCCCAGAAGAAGAGAGACTGAGTAGCAGGCAGGAGCCTGAGCTTTGGAGCCAGGCTGTGTAGTTTTGTATTCCCTTTTTGCCAACTAGTAGCAGTCTGACATTGGGCATATCGCTTAATGTTTCTGTGCCTCCATGTCTTCATCTATGGAATGAGGATAACAAGTAGGATCTACCTCCTTGGGCAGATGAGATGATCCATGCCGAACATGCCAAGCAACACAGGATCCAGCCCATAGCTAGCACACAACAAATGGTGGAGGTTATTATGTCTGACTCAGTTCATTCAAGTGGCCATACCAGTTTGTGACTTTGACAACTGGTCTGCAAGCTTGGGCAGTCCAAACAGATTCTAGACTTGGGGAGATGAGTTGCCAGAGCACCTTTTACAGTGTTTTTAAATAAGCAAGCCCCCAGTCAGTATTATTGATTGTCTGACCTAAACTGACTTGCTGCAATTCTAGGGTCCTCTTGATTGAATTTGGCCTTCATTTCCCAGTAAGAAACAAAATGAAATCAGAAAACCTGGGCAGTTAATGTAGGTGAAGTGCAGTTCCTCCAGATAGGTCAGTACGTCACTGTGGTCTATACTGTACACTAAGGAAATTCTTGACTAGGAGAACCTGAAATTCTTATTTTATTTTATATTTAATGTGATTTGCGTGAAAGTTTACAGAGCAAATTCATTTTCCATACAGCAGTTCACATACACTTTGTCTTATGACAGTGACCGTGACTTCCCACGATGCAACAGCTGTCTTCCCACTTCCTCCCCATAGTTACCTCTCCTGAAGGGCAGCTAGGGGCAGTTAGTCTCAGGGGTTCCACCAGGCTCAATCAGACCAGCAAACCTGGTCTTTTTTTTTTTTTTTTTTTTTATGATTTTGAGTTGTGTTCCACATTGAGAACCTGGAATTCTTAAATTATAGTGGTAATGACACACGATATATACAATAACTAAAAGCCCTTATTATAAAAGACAAGCCTATAGCAGAAGAATAAATACACTCATATATTCCCTTCTTTATCCAGGATCCTTTGGAATGGAATTATTTCTGATAAGTAAATTACCTAGAGAGCTGAAGCTTATTCATTTAACCACCATAAGTTTGCATATTAACTATTTTGATGTAATATTTCTATTACAAACTGCATAGTTTATGGCATTAATACAGAGAATATATTGAAAGCAATTCAGCCAATTTGTTAGGCTTTAAGTCCTCATTATTAATTTATTGTTGTTTTTGTCATCATTTGTTTGTTTTTTGCTTTTCCAAATAATCTCAGTACCATGGTCCATTTTAAGGGCCATTTGGCCCCCAGGACTCAGATAGCTGTACCCTTATATAAATAAGTCTTTGAACTTTTAACTGTTGTTTTGTTCTCTCATTTTGTTATTGCCAGAGAGTGCGAGTTGTTATTTTTTCTCTAGAGATATACATGATTGATTTCTCCATCCCTAAATGCCTTTTTAAATTACTAATTTGTAAATTTCTTACCCTGGGAAACCAGAAACTCATATCTGCTCCTATTTTGTGTAAAGTTAAGATTCACAGACACTAAATGAAGTCATGTCCTTTGTGACAGGTTTTTTGACCATCCAAGGACTTTCACAATTTACTTTCTAGTTGCAATTGGTTATCTGGAGTGGTGGATGTTTGATACTGGGCAAAATTGCAGTGCTTATGGTTTTCCGTTTTAGCATTGGGGACTTCCTGCTGCTCCAAAATTAAGTAGAGAAATTAAAGAAAATTAATCGCCTCTGCTCCAAGCAGTAGGTAAAAACTGTGTAAAATAGGATTTGGATCTTTTGGATAAAAGGAAAGGTAAAACATTCTTCATGAGTATTTTTCCATTTTTTGACACAGAGACATAATTATGAGTATAACTGTCGGGAAGCTCACAGACCATGAGGTTATAACCATTGCACGTCACTATCGTGCACTTGAAGACATGGAGCCACATGTGAATGTGTTAATTACAATGGCCCACGGACAGCTCAAGAAAAATGCTTTTGAGAATTTTGAAAGACTAATTGCTGTCTGCGAGTATGAAGATCGAGAAAAGTAAGCTTTTTAAAATTGTAATCATTTTTGTTTCTGTGAACCCAAGTAATAAAGGAATTTGTATTTTATTAAAAAAAAAGGGCAAAAAGAAAATTGGCATTTCTCATCATCCTCTGCTATTTAGTAAAGCCATTTTATTTTTTTATTTAGATAGATGAAGATGGGTGTGCAGATTTCTTAGAAGGAGTATAATTAAGGAAGAATACATCTATTAATTTTAGAGACAACAAAAATTAAGGGGGGATGAGAGGTTGGGAAAGAGCAACCTTTTCATGAATAGACATGAAGTATCTGTTCATGTCTTCTGCCTATTTTTTAATTGGATTGTGTCTTTTTTGTGTTGAGGTGTTGGAGTTTTCTATAAATTTTAAAGGTAAGTCCCTTGTCAGATATGTTGTTGCCATATATTTTTTTCCCAATCTATAGGTTCTCTTTTTGCTCTTTTGGAGAAGTCTTTTGAAACACATAAATATTTAATTTTTAGAAGGTCCCATTCATCTTGTTTATCTTCTGCAGTTTATGAGTTTTGGGTTATGCTTGACAGTCTGTTTATGCCATAAAATTAGGGCACTTAAATTTGCGCCTATTTTTTTTACTTGAGGAACTTTATAGTTTTAGGTTTCAAATTTAAGTCTTTGATCCATCTGGAGTTAGTTTTTGTGTATGGTGTGAGGTACGGATCTTGTTTCATTTTTCTGCAAATGGATATCCAGTTTTGCCAGCACCATTTGTTAAAGAGACCATCTCTTCCCCATTTAATGGATTTCAGCCCTTTGTCAAACATCAGCTGGCCATAGGTCGATGTATCTATTTCTGGGTTCTCAGTTCTGTTCCACTGGTCTGTATATCTGTCATTGTATCAGTGCCAGCCTGTTTTGACTACTGTGGCTGTATAGTAGATTCTGAGATCTGGGAGTATGAGATTTCCTACTTTGCTCTTCTTCTTCAATAGTGCTTTGCTTATTCAAGGTCTCTCTCCTTTCCATATAAAATTAGTCATTGGTTTTTCTATATCCTTAAAGAATGCTTATGGGATCTGGATTGGGATTGCAATGAATGTATAGATTGCTTTGGGTAGAATTGACATTTTCCCAATGTTCAATCTTCCTATCCACGAGCATGGTATGTTCTTCCAGTTATGTAGATCTATGGTTTCTTGGAGTAGTGATTTGTAGTTTTCTTTGGACAGGTTTTTGTGTCCCTAGTGAGATTTACTACCAAGTATTTTTTTTTTTTTGGTAGCTATTGTAAATGGTATTGATTTCCTTATTTCCTTGTCAGCAATCTCTTTGCTGGTGTAGAGGAATTCCACTGATTTTTGTATGTTGATCTTGTATCCCACCACTATGCTAAATCTCT